TCACTGACAAAATCATGGAGGGGGCCAATAACTGGTTCCTTGTATGTGTCACTAAATGCTCTTATAATTTTCATTTTGTGATTTGACAGAATTTTTGTTTAATGTGCTTTCAAAGCCTTATATTTCTCTTTAGAATTCCATGTTATTCTGTGTGCTTTCTAATCTGTATTCACAAAATGGTACCATTAATTTCTAACCTTTTTTTTTTTCAATTTTTTATGTTATTCCTTTCATGCTTTCACATGAACACTGTATGTGTATTGCCTTCATTTGCTCCACCTCATTTAATTCACTGTTGGCATCACTATAGTTCTTTACCAACTTTTACCTTTGGGTTAGTCGTTTTAGCAATGTTCAGTTTGCTACACTAAATTATTTTATTCAATTGACCTTTGTTTATACTCTGACAAATTCTCAAGTTTAGACTCACTTCATTGTGTTTCTTTTTCTGCTCTGAGGCCCTAATTGCTCCTAGAGGAACACACGGAACAAAGTAGATTGGTCCCATTACCACACTCTATTAAAAATTCCTTCCTAAAAATTGAAATTGATTCTGTAGTTCAATCTCCTGAAATGAATTCAACTTAAAAGATGCACTTGAAAATATACTTGATCCTTGTTATTTGCAGATTTCATATTTTCAAATTCACCTACTCACTAATATTTATTTGTAACCCCCAAATCAATACTCAAGGCACTTTTATGATCATTCACAAGCATGCACAGAGTGGCAAAATATCTTATTACTCAATGAGTATATTCTTACCTGAGGTTGAAAAATATGATACCGTGCCTTTTTGTTTCAGTTCTCATACTGTAAACAAGTGTCCTTTTCTTGGTCTACATAGTACTACATTTTTCACATTTTTATTACTTTGCTGGTGATTTTGCTGTTTAAAATAGTCCCCAAGTGTTGTGTCAAAGCATAGTGCAAGAAGGTTGTGATGTGCCATATGGAGAAAATATGTATATTTGGTAAGCTTTGTTTAGTTATAAGTTATAGCAGTGTTTACTGTGAGTTTAATGTTAATGAATCAACAGTGCATATTAAATAGAATGTCTTTAAACAGAAACACGCATGAAATCTGTTTATGTATTGAGCAGTTGACAAAAATGTGACCAGAGTCTCCTGGAAAACCAACCCTGTATTTCTCCTAAGAACAAGGACTCAATAATCATTAATTCAGTGTTTGTGGTGACTTCATAGAACACAACTACTATGAATAATGAGAATAACCTGTATTTTATTTGTCTTCTTGATGGTCATAGAATCATTGGTGGTTTAGATATTACGCTAGACCTTCTTTTGTCCTAATCATCATCATCCTACTTGCCTCCAACTTTCCTGAAACTGTTGAAAACGTCATGCACTTTTACTTTTACATTTATGATCATCCGTTATGTTCTTTATTCAACTATCTTGCTTTCTATAGTCTCCATAGTAATGTCCTTCCTAAAAATTTCAGAGGAACAGATGTATGCCCTCTTAATCTTTTATTTTATAATTTTTATTATAAAAATTTCAATAGTATTCAAAAATAGGGAGGATAAAATAAGGAACTTTCATGTACTCATCACCTAGTTCAAAAATTTACAACTCATGGCCAACCTTACGTTATCCGTACATACCCTGACACAATCCCCTCATCCCCTTCCCCCACCAAAATATTAAATCTATTTTGAAGTTAATCCCAGATGTTATATACTTTCATCTGAAAATGTCCCCATTCAAAAATACCATTTTGATGGTGATATTAGAGGTATACTCTTTACAAACTTTGTGAGCTACAAAAGAGAAGCCAAATTTGCCCTGTGATTACAATATTCTACTTTCTTATCTCTGGAAAGACATGGCACCCATTTTTTGGGGACAGGGATGGAGTTTCATGCTTGTCACACAGGCTGGAGTGCAGTGGTGCGATCTCTGCTCACTACAGCCTCCACCTTCCGTGTTTAAGCTATTCTCTCACCTCAGCCTCCCGAGTAGCTGAGATTACAGGCAATCACCACCATGCCAAGCTAATTTTTGTATTTTTAGTAGAGACAAGGTTTAACCATGTTGGTGAAAAATTCCTTCCTAGCTTCCAGGCTGGTCTCAAACTCCTGACCTCAGGTGATCCACTTGCCTCAGCCTCCCAAGGTGCTGGGATTTTAGGTGTAAGCCATCGTGCCCAGCCTCCGTTTAAAAAATGTTCATGTCTAGCATCCACAATTTTTCCCACTTGCCTTGCTCTTTATATTTTAATATCACAAAAACCATTAATAACCTCATATGTAAAAATTTTTCCTTGAATCTCCTACTGTTTCTCATCTCAGTGGTATTTGGCGACCTTGTCTTTCTAAAACATATCCCTTGTTTGAATTTCGTAATTCTGAAATTTGCTGATTTCTTTCCTCCTCCTCCATCTACTCATTGCTGGCTCTATCCTTTGATTAATCTTTCTCTCTCTCTCTCTCCACCTGGCTATTTTCAAGATTCAGATCTCAGATAAAATTTTTATCTGCTGTCTATATTCTCACTTGAAGAAGCCATCTTTTCTTTGAACTCAGCTATCACCTTAATGAGTGCCAAATCTATGTCTCCAGAATTCAACTCTTGCCCATATTTAGTCTTACATTTCTACCTACTTCAAAGTGATCTCTATTTATATATTTTAAGTTCTAAATACGAAATGAAAAATTGTATATGTGCCATTTGAAACTTAACAGGTATCATGAAATGTTGCCTGGGTTTTTAAGTTTCTCGCTCATATTATTAGGGTTCGCTATTCTTAGAGTTTTTTTTTTTTTTTTTTTTTTTAACTCTTATGTTTCCTCCACATGTATTCAGCTAAGTCCTAGACTATTTTCCCACTTTACCATATCTTTCATGTTTATTTCTTATGCCTCTATTATTTCTGTTAACACTCTAATCTGTTCTCTCATTTCTTTGTGTCTTAATACTTCCACGGCTTCCTGTTTGGCTTCCTACTTCCAATTTTAGAAGTTTCTGTTGTGATATGCACATTCCTGAATACACTTCCTGTTCTGTTTCTCACTAAACCATTCACTGAAAATAACAGGATTAATGAGACAAATGGGGTTAGAGACAGACTGGTCCCTCCAAAGCTATGCAACTTTTTAACTGAAGAATTAACAAATATAATAATTTGTACCTTTAAAAGTAGCTTGCACAGTGTAGGTAGGCAGAATGCCCAAGGTCTGGTGGCTTACTGGGGGTATGTTAGAATGCACAGAAACAATAATGTGGAAACATAGGTTTGCTGGTGCTAAGGCAACATACACAGGAAAGTGTAGTCCTGAGCAGAGAGAAACACAACCTAAAACTGATACAAAGCTGGGATACATCTCTCTGGGGAGGGAGTTTTGGGAACAGGAACTCAGGCGTTTTCTTAAACCAGTGCCCTAGAGTTGTCTGCCTGTGCAATAGCTGAGTTGAAAGGATTTTCCTTTTCTTCTGCAGTTTATAATTCTACTGCCATTATTCTGGCTCCCTTGCCTAAAAAAAAGCACATATAAACGATCATAATTTCCATCTTCTGACATAACTCTGCCATTCACTAATCAAATGTGTGCTAATTAGTGCTGGTAGAATAGACTCTATTTTTTTTTTATATTTGATGCTTACTGGACATCACCTTACTTTCAGCTTGTAATGCTATTAGATACACTGCTATCTCTTTAAAAGAATTATTTATTCTCAGACTCATTTGTTCCTGTCTCTTATGCTGATTTAAGCTTTCTTGTCTCCTGTATCTTCTATTTCTCTATCCTGATTTTCTCTGCCTGCATATAGACTTGGGATTTTATTATCAAAATTATTTATTTTCGAATAGCTTTATGTGGCATATCTTATTTCTATAAGCAGACTGCGGGTTCCTAGAGGACAAGATCCACGTGTTTATAATACTCTTTTTATATCTCCTCCTATCTACGAGGGTATCAGTAAATGCTTATTGGTTAGATTTCAAATCACAAATGTATTATTTCAAATTTACTATGATGTTAATTTTTTAAATGGACAAAAGAAAATTCACAAGGAAGTTAGCATAATGTAGGGAAAAAAGCATGGCCTTCTGAATTAGATCACTCTGGATTCAAATTCAAGGTCTGCCACTGATTAGCACGTGATCTCAAGCAAATTACTTAATGTTTCTGAGTTTCAGGTTTCTTAATAACCTGGAAAAAATTAACCTAGTTCTATGTTTTTATTAAAAAAGAATTATACGAATTAATGCAATAATATTTTAATCAATTAAGAACTTCATAGAGTGTGAATACTTAATGGGTGGCCAATAATTAGAGGTTCCAGGATCTTGAGGGATAATCAGCCAGTACCTTGTTATTAGAAGCCATATAAAGAAGCAAAATTCCAGAGTTTGCAGGATATAATTAGAATTTGTGATTTTATATATGCATTTCCTAAGTTCTGCCTTTTGCTAGACTAAGCACTTTACATTCACTGTCTTACATCATCTTCATAGTACTCATCACAGGGAGGTATTATTAGGAGCATTTACAGATAAATAAATTAAAGGTTTTAGCCAGCTTGGAAAGGCCAAACTTGAGAGAGAAACCCTGGTGTCTGACTCTAATGTCTTTTTTTTTTTTTTAAGTTTTATTTTATTATTATTATTTTTTAATCAGTAATAGACTCTTCACTACCTTTTTGGGGGTTATGTTACACTAATAAAGAATATAGACAAAATAACTAGGGAGTTATTTTGTCAGATGTATCACGTGAGTTAAGAGTACAGTTCTTCAAAGAGATGGAGCTTTCAATCTCATTGTTTTGAACCTTGAGGCTACATCAGTTTTCAAGGTATTGGAGTTCCTCTTTTAGGTGGATAACTGACATAAATGGAGAAAATCACTTATGCATGCGAACACACTGAATACTTTTGAAAATTACCCCTTTCATTATGTTCTTGTTAGAAAAATAGCCAATTCCTCTGTAATGAACTGAATTATGAATTACTAATTTCTGTCTTCTCCTTTAGGGTGACTCTGGAGGACCACTGGTTAGTTCAGATGCTAGAGATATCTGGTACCTTGCTGGAATAGTGAGCTGGGGAGATGAATGTGCGAAACCCAATAAGCCTGGTGTTTATACTAGAGTTACGGCCTTACGGGACTGGATTACTTCCAAAACTGGTATCTAAGAGAGAAAAGCCTAATGGAACAGATCACATTTTTTTGGGGGGTGTGTATAGGCCATTTTTAGAGATACAGAATTGGAGAAGAAGACTTGCAAAACAGCTAGATTTGACTGATCTCACTAAACTGTTTGCTTGATGCATATATTTTCTTCCCAGCTCTGTTCCACACATAAGCATCCTGCTTCTGCCAGATCAGCTCTGTCATCTGTGAGCAATAGTTCAAACTTTATGTACATAGAGAAGTAGATAATACAATATTACATTACAGCCTGCATTCATTTGTTCTCTAGAAGTTTTGTCGTCAGAATTTTGACTTGTCGACACAAATTTGTAACGCATATATACAATTTGAAGAACTCCTTTTCTTCAGTTCCTGAGCTCCTCTCATTTCAGCAAATATCCATTTTCAAGGTGCAGAACAAGGAGTGAAAGAAAATATAAGAAGAAAAACATCCCCTACATTTTATTGGCACAGAAAAGTATTCGGTGTTTTTCTTTTTCTTAGTGGAATATGGGAAATGATCATATTCATTATGAAAGATCAAGCAAAGACAGCTGAATACCAATCACTTCATCATTTAGGAAGTATGGGAACTAAGTTAAGGAAATCCAGAAAGAAGCCAAGATATATCTTTCTTTTCATTTCCAGACAACTTACTATGATAAATGTGAAGAAGATTCTGTTTTCTTGTGACCTATAATAATTATACAAACATCATGCAATGTACTTGTTCTAAGTGAATTAAAGCAAATATTTATTTAACATTGTGTTACTGAGGATGTCAATATATAACAATAAAATATAAATCACCCAGTTGCTTGACATTATGGTATGATAATCCACAAAGAAGGGGAAGATGGGAAAAATGTTACTAGTCAATTTATTATAAATTATTTTAAAACTTGAGCCTAGGATGAAAATTAATTTAATAACAATCAGCATGCCTATGTAGTAAAATAATTGTGCTGTGGAATGGGAGGGAATGAAGAGTTCAAACAATTGGCAGAAAAGGTTTTATTCATCTAAGACTTTCCCAAATAGCAAATCCTTGAAGGGAATGAGATCCAGGTGTTAGTGTATAGTCTAGTGATGCAACTAAACTGGGGTTCAGACCTCTATTTTGAGACGATTGCAGATATTTTTCTCCCCTTGCTGTTGTGTTTACAGTTCATGCATAGCTAATCGTCCTGTTAGACTCATTTGGGCTGAGATGGAAAGATATAGAGAAAATATCCTGGAAAGTGCCTCACTGCTGCATCTAGTGTGATACTGAATTGCTAACTGCCTGGATAACAAAACTGAAGAGTAAAAGCGTAATATTGGCCACCTTCATGATTTTAGTTGTGGTAAATTATTACTGAGCTGTTAAGAGACACAGCTTTTAAGTAATCTAGACCATAATGAAGTTAGGACTGGTACCATGACGTACGGCGTGTTAATGGTGAGATTTCACCAAGTCTTTCTTCATTGTATATAGCTACTCATATAAATTCTATATTGTACAATAATTACCTTGAAAACCGGTATTGCGAGGAAAAATTTGACTTTATTGATCTGAATAACATTGGAGTATGAACTGATAAAATTTAGGCTCTTGGCAAAAATATGAAAACTGACGTGAATTGATAGTGTTAAATATTTTACGAAAGCTATTTTTGTTTCATTTAACAAAATGCTCTGAGAAAAAACAAAATTGAGGAAAACCTTGAATTTTAAGCAAGGATATAAGTACGTTTAAAACTACTCTCAGGGTTGTGTTAAAAATGGATTCCCCTTGTTTCAGTGTATTCTGTAGTTAGGCCGCTAGGTGGCACCCACACGCTGTAGGAAGCTATCGGGAAGCCTGACATCAAGAAGGATGTCTAGATATGTAATAATGGGAACTGAAATTAGACTCTTGCAAAACCAAAAGAATACAATTTATCCTTGCAAATGGCTTTTAAAAATTAATTCGTGTTGATTTACATCATTATTAGTATTTTTCAAATTTCTGGAGATTGTATTCCAAACTAAACAAAATTTATGATGCATGATTTGAGGAATGCCCTCTGCAAACGCACCTGGAGCAATTTAAATTAAGAAGAAATTTTAAAAGCTTAATTTTACAATGACATCTTATTCCTAAGAGAAATACTTTTGATATTTCCTTCTACAAAGGATTTGAGGATTGGAAGTTTGGGTCAAAGTGAAAATATGAGCAATAGTTCAAACTTCATGTACGTAGAGAAATAGATAATACAATATTACATTTCTAAAATGATAACTTCTTTTGAAAAGTAATTTCCAAAGGGTTTTATCATTCTTGGGCATGTCTGTGTTAACTGTTTCATTGGATAAAGGTAAGAAGATGCGATTATAATATTTATTATTTTTTTAAAGAGGGCAGGCAATTTCTCTTCTATATCTTCTTTCTTCCTACAGCACCTAGTAAAGTACTTTGTATACAACAGTCCTTCAATAAATGTTGTTGAATGATTCTTTTATTTTTACATTATGCAGAAAACATAGCTTTATTATTATTTACACATTAATTTTTAGAAGTAATCCCAGATTTTACACTTACTGAGTGAATTAAACCAGTTACTATTTATCTAAGCCTATAATCTCACCCATAAGATAGAGATGATATTTGCTCAAATGATTGTTGTAGAAATAAAGCTGTGAATGTTTAAAAAGTGCTTAGCACAGTTCTTGGAACATTAGTCGGTGTTCAAGAAAAGATAGTAATAATAACTGTTACTATAATGAAACTACATTCTTTCTAAAAATATGGTATTTGATTATAATAGGCTGAATACCTTTTTTTTTTTTTTTGAAATGACAAAATTAGACCAACAGAATGTGCTTGTTTAAAAAATTTCTGATTCTACAAAAAGTTTTATTGGAGTAATTCTGAAACATATTTATCAAAGTAGTCTGTCACTGTGAGGGTTTATTCTAACTTTTCACTTCAATTTTAAAAAATGATAAACCTTATTAACCACTGAGTGGCTGGATTATATCAAGATCTATCGTGTAACTCAAATGTCGTCTCTCCATGAAGCCTTTTTTTACTTCCTCAAGTGGATGTACTATCTTTTTTTTTCTGAACTTCCTTACCATTAATATTTTTATTTTCAGATAGTCATTGATTCAGATACGGTTAAGATATAACTGTAGGATATAATTCACAGAGATTCTGTGTACCCTTTACTCAGTTTACCTCAATAGTAAGATCTTGCTTAGGTGTAGTATAATGTTACAATGAAGAAGTTGACATTGAGACAATCCATTAACTTTATTAGGATGCGATCAATTATATATGTGTGTGTAGGTGTAGGTGTGTGTGTAATTAGTTCTATGTAATTTAATTACATATGTAGATTCTTGTGATTACCAAGATACAGACAGATTGTTCGCAAGGCTACATCATGCTACCGACAGCCATCCAGCTCCCTCCCTACCCCTGTGTCTAGTCTCTAATCCCTGGCAACCACTAATCTGCTCTCCATCTTTATAATTCTTATTGTTTCAAGAATGGTATATAAATGTATTATACAATATGTAGTTTTTTCAGGTTGGCTTTTTCGCTCAGCATAATTTTCTTGAGATCTATCCAAGTTGTTGTGTTTGTCAGTAGTTAGTTCTTTTTTTATTACTGAGTAGTATTATATGATATGAATGTACCACAGTTGGTTAACTGTATACCCATTGAAGAGCATTTGGGTTGTTCTCAGGTTTTGGCTATTACAAATAAAACTGCTATGAAGATTTGTGTGTAAGCTTTTTGTGTGGACATAAGTTTTTATTTTTCTGAGGTTTATGGCCTAGAGTACAATTGCTAGGTCATACGGTAAGTACATGTTTAGATTTTTAAGAAACGGCCATATTCTTTTCACATGCTCCTTACTACTTGTAAAACTTTGTACTTAGAATCTTTACCTGTGGATTTCAGATGTGTAGATAGATGTGATTTCAACAACTAGACTGTAAACTCCATTAGGGTGGGACAGTAACTGATTCATTTTTATATCCTTCACAGTTCATAGGAAACTATAATATTATTTATGGCAGTTGTTCTATAAAGATTTATTAAATAAAAGTAAAGACCGTAATAAAAGCAAACAAATAAATACATGTAAAATGAAAAAGAAGAAATGACTTTGGGTAGAAAAGAATGAACACTATTTTATTTCCTTCATGAAGGTATTACTGCCCAATTTCTGTAATTCTGCATGAACTTTACCATGGCACCTCCACGTGTCTTATGTTGGTTGATATAAAATCTTGTTTTTCACTTTTCCACGGGATACACAATCAATCACAGACTACAAACATGGTTGATATGGAGAATCTGTCCATATACCTGAATTTATTTTCTGATGCATGTTATATTTAATAGTTTTCTGATACATCTGTGTCAACTTCTACTGTACTTGTGGAATGGATTCCAGTTTAAGGATACACTCAATAAATATTTGTTGCTCTTACTTTTTATAACCATGACTGTAGAATTTGTCCTAATGTAATTTTTATTATATAACTCTTAAGGTGGAGTGAAAGACAGAGACCTGTGAAATGTAATCAGAAGGTCTCCCTTAGTTGTCCCTAATGCATTAATCAGTACCTCTTTGGCATAGATGTAGTCAGCTTAAATATTACAATCACTGTACTCACTGCCTTGCATATACCCCTCACCTGCTTGTTCTCTTGCTCCACCACTCTGTGACACTTGCTTTTTACTATGATCCTGGTAAAATTTAACTCTCCACTTACTGCTTTTAAAAACGAATTAATTTCTCCCATTTTTGTTAAAGTGTAATTGGCTAATAAAAATTGTATATAGTTACAGTGTACAATTTGATGTTTTGATATATGTTTACATTGTGAAATTATTAAATCAAGCTAATTAATATATCTATTACATCAATACTTACTATTTTTTATGAGAACATTTAATATCTACTCAGCAATATCTACTTTTAACATTTTAAAAATACTCAGTCCATTATTAACTGTAGTCCCCATTCTGTAAATAGGCCTCCAGAACTTATTTCTTCTATGTAACTGAAACTTTGCACCTTTTAACCAATATCTTCTCATTTCCACCACACTCCAGGCTCTAGCAACCACCATTCTACTCTCTGCTTCTATTATTTCAGCTTTTTTAGATTCCACATATAAGTGAGATCATGTAGTAATTAACACTCTCTGCTTGGTTTATTTCACTTAACGTAATATCCACCAGGTTCTTCTATGTTGTCACAAATGACAAGATTCCCTCCTTTTTTAATGCCGAATTGTATACCAATGTGTGTATTTCTTTATTCTTCCACCAATGGACATGTAGGTTGATTCTATATTTTGGCTATTGTGAATAATACTACAATAAACATGAGAATGCAAGTATTTCCTTACTGAAAGTGAAAAACAGAATGGTTGTATGGTACTTAAAGTATGGTTTCTACTGAATATTTCTATCGCTACTGAGATAACCAAAATAGAGTGTAAAAAACAATAAAGCAAATAAGCAACACCAAAATTGCACTTTTTCAAAATGTCAAATAAATGACTAAACTTTTAACTAGACTGAACTCCCATAAAAGAGATGATTCACATTTTAATAATAAAGTCAGATATAGTAGTAAAGACATTATTACCAATCATACAGAAATAAAATTATAATTGTATATTAGGAGCACTTGTATGTCAACAAATTGTAATAACTCAGATGAAATGAACAAATCTCTAAAAAGACACAATCATGCAGACTCAAGAGTTCTAATACAATTCCATTATGTTCAAAGGACACATTTTGTATGATTTCAGTACTTTTATTGAGAGCTTTGCTAGCAATGGACTGTCTTAGAAAATGTTAATGTACTTGAGAATATTATATACAGTCATGCATCGCTTAACAACGGGGATACATTAACTGCATTGTTATATGATTTTGTTGTGTGAATATCATACAGTGTACTTACATAAATTTACATGGTGTAGCCTACCACACACCTAGGCTGTATGGCATAATCTATTGCTCCTAACCTACAACCTATACAGCATGTCACTGTACTGAATACTATAGAGAACTGTAACACAATGGGAAGCATTTGTGTATTTATATATAACTAAACATAGAAAAGTTACTGTACAAATACAATATAAAAAATTATAAAACGGTATACTTGTATGAAATTCTTATCATGAATGGAGTTTGCAGGGCCAGAAGTTGCTCTGGGTGATTCAGGGAGTGAGTGGTGAATGAATGTGAAGGCATAGGACATTATGATAACTACTGTAGACTTTATAAACACTACACACTTAGGCTACACTAAAT